AAGACTTGGGATGGAGGGAGCAGACAGATTGAGTCAGGGATCTGAGATTGAACCGTTCTGCCCCTATAAATCTTAGGAAATTAATCAAGGAAGAAGGGCAGGAGAGAAACAAAAATAAACCAAATTTGCCACACACTCAGCGTTGATCATGAGGCCAGCTTGTTTTCCAACTCGCTTCCTCATAGGCGTTTGCTGCCTATTGCCCCAGAATCACATCGACCATATTATAAGATTATAGTTCTTAATAAGGTAATGATTTATATTCCTTTGGGATATAAATATACCTAGTAACGGGATATACCTAGTAACGGGATTTCTGGGTTGAATGGTATTTCTGGTCCTAGATCTTTGAGGAATTGCCACACCATCTTCTGATAGATTGAATAAAGAAAATGTGGTACATATACACCATGGAATACTATGCAACCATAACAAGGAACGAGATCATGTCCTTGCAGGGACATGGATGGAGCTGGAACCCATCATCCTCAGCAAACTAACACAGGAACAGAAAACCAAACACTGAATGTTCTCACTCATAAGTGGGAACTGAACAATGAGAACATAGGTTGGGGGTGGGGGATGGGGAGGAGAGCATCAGGAAAAATAACTAATGCATGCTGGCTTAATGCCCAGGTAATGGGTTGATAGGTGCTGCAAACCACCATGGCACACATTTAAATGTAACAAATCTGCACATCCTGCACATGTACCCCAGAACTTAAAAAATTAAAATTAATGAAAAAGTAAGCGAGGCGTGTGCACACTACACACACATGATTATAGTTCCTCCCTTTTTTGAGACAGAGTTTTCACTCTTGTTGCCTAGGCTGGAGTGCAATGGCACGATGTTGGCTCACTGCAACCTCCGCCTCTGGGGCTCAAGCAGTTCTCCTGTCTCAGCCTCCCGAGTAGCTGGGATTCCACGCACATGCCACCACGCCCGGCTAATTTTTGTATTTTTAGTAGAGATGGGGTTTCATCATATTGGTCAGGCTGGTCTCGAACTCCTGACCTCAGTTTATCCACCTGCCTTGGCCTCCCAAAGGCCTGGGATTACAGACGTGAGCCACTATAGTTACCCTTAATTGCCCTATTGATAACAACTTGAACAGTATAGAACATTAAGTTTTCCCTTTGAGATATTCTTTAGGTTCTGCATATCAATGAGACTACTGATGTCAGCTGGTCTGAAGGACCCCATGGGGAGCTGACTTACCAAAGAATGCAGTTTTCACATCCTGATGGTTTCATCAAATCAACAACCCCAATTTTTCAGTCTCTTGCCCTTCACAATCCCCTTAAAAACCCTAGCTCAGCACTCCTCAAGGAATGGATTTGAGGGTTCCTCCTGTCTCCTTGCTTAGCTACCCTACTGTCATTAAACTGTTTCTCTGCTGCAAACCCTGCTGTCTCAGTGTATTGGTCTATTACTGAACAGTGGGCATAAGAACCTGGTGGTCCTGTAACAAGATGTCAGCAAGGGCATGGTTGACGTAGCTGGATAAAAGGCATGCAGGTTAGGCTAAGGGCAAAAGAGGATAGGGAGGAGTTGACAGTTTGGGAGAGATGGGGAGGTCCCAAAGGGCTCAAGGCTGGGTGGAGGAGAGGGAGATTTAGGAGGTGAAAGTAAATGCAACTGTGCAATCAGGTCTTGATAGAAGAAGGGAAAGGTTCAAAATGCCAACAGGCCCCTGTTTGTGGATATGGGAGCAATATGGAAGTGAAGGATCTCAGGTGAGTCACAGGGTCTCAGACAAACTCCTCTAGTCCTAGGATGCTGAGCAGGTGCACTCAGGGCTTCAATATTCTCTTCCTAGACACCTCTGCCCAAAATGCAATCAAGAAGGCTCTTTCTTGCATGTAGAAAGGCCTGTGAGCATTAAATATATTCACCCATGACTTTGATCATGCTTGATTCTTAAAACTAAACATAAATCAATGAGCTTGTGTCTGGGGGACAAAAAACCCTGACATAATGTTTTTTTTTTTTTTTTTTGAGACAGAGTCTCGCTCTGTTGCCCAGGCTGGAGTGCAGTGGCCAGATCTCAGCTCACTGCAAGCTCCGCCTCCTGGGTTTACGCCATTCTCCTGCCTCAGCCTCCCAAGTAGCTGGGAATACAGGCTTCCGCCACCTCGCCCAGCTAGTTTTTTTGTATTTTTTAAAGAAGTTTCTCTGAGATAAAAATATGCAAAAGGGATTATGTAATGAAGGTCCCAGAGGTCATACAAGAATGCAACGTGCAAATTACAAAATAACAGCTTTTTAAAATGAAATAAGATAACGAATTTTAAAGCACTTAGTGCAGTACCTGGACTAACAGGCTCACACCTGTAATCCCAGCACTTTGGGAGGCTGAGGAGGGGGAATCACTTGAGGTCAGGAGTTCAAGAGCAGCCTGGCCAACATGGTGAAACCCTGTCTCTACTAAAAATACAAAAATCAGTCTGAGTGTGGTGGCTCATGCCTGTAATCCCAGTATTTTGGGAGGCCGAGGCGGGTGGATCACGAGGTCAGGAGATTGTGACCATCCTGGCTAACATAGTGAAAATCTGTCCCTACTAAAAATACAAAAATTAGCCGGGCATGGTGGCGGGCGCCTGTAGTCTCATCTACTCGGGAAGCTGAGGCAGGAAGATTGCTTGAACCCAGGAAGCAGAGGTTGCAGTGAGCCAAGATCGTGCCGCTGCACTCCAGCCTGGGTGACAGGGTAAGACTCTGTCTCAAAAACAAACAAAACTAAACAAAACAAAAATATTACCATAGTTATTGGTTAGGTGATGGTTAGGTACCTACCCATGGTTAGATAATACCATGATTATTACCATAATTATTATTATGTTTATTAAATATTATGGTAATAATTATTACCATAATGGTTAATTAACAATGTTAAGCCACTTAGTGCAGTACCTGGGCTAATAGTTATTAATGGCAATTAATAATGGTAATAATTATTAGTCTAGGCACTGCACTAAGTGGCTTAACATTATTAATTAACCATTATGGTAATAATTATTAATAAACATTAATAATTATTTTATAACAATCAATAGCATTATTAATAAGCATAATTATTAATAATTGCATTATTATTGATAAATATTATAATTGCTATTAATGATCATTCATTCTATAGTAATCATATTACATTAATTATAAATAAGCTATTGACAAATCATTAAAGGAAACCCAGCAAGGCTTCTGTTTGGTAGCCCCTTTGTCAGGCATTTATTTTATTAATGTATAAGGTTTTGAGAAATAAAAAGGCCTTACTTAGAATTTAGATTATTTCCCAGTATAGCCTGACCTTTCCCAAATTACTAAGATCTATGACATTTCCCTGAACAAAACACTGATCCACCAACAAAGGCTGTTCTGGAAAATGAGATGATACCCAAAAATACCCTTTTCCACCCATCTCAAGAGTGCTCACTAGCAGTAGAGGGCTTGAGTCCCACATACTTTCATTGTGTGGGGCTCACATTGTCTGTCAGCCTGGAGCGAGATGGATTGGGAAGGCCAGGACTGCTGCTTTCCCGTTTCAGTTCCCAATCTCTTCCCTCCTCATCCCTCCTAACCCTTGCAAGACCCCTGCATGTCCTGCTGGAAATGGCCTTGGCTGTGACCACCCCATCCTACCCTTATAAGATCAGTGTGACTCCCACTCCAAATACAGTCGTTGATGCTATCACCCCATTGTCATAGCAAGGAGACCAAGGCAGCTTCAGGACCACAGCTGGGTTTTGTTTGATGCACGTGGCATTTTTGCAGTGTTTGAATTTGAGTGACTCCAGAAGAGATCATCACTTTCTGCTTTGCAGCAGTCTCCACTACTCCCTCTCTCCCACTGCTTGCAACCTTGGAGTATAGGCCATCTCCTGTTCCCTCCTGTCATGGCATTTAACGCTGGCTCCATGATGCAGCAGTTCAGCCAAGACAGGACTGATGGGAGCCTGGGTTTGCATGGACAGTTCTGGTGCCTGGGACCAGCTCAGCCCCAAGCACACTAGCCTCGCTCCATAGCCCTCACTGGCTCTAAGGGAGACAGCTACAAGACCAGGCAACCAAATATATCCTTCTGGCGTCTATGTGACAGCTTCCAAACTATGTATACTGACTTATTTAAATGTTAAAAAAAAATAATAAAAGAAAAAACAATTTGACCTCCTTAAGAAATGTCAGCATTGAAGAGAAAAGTCGCTGACAGCCTGCTATATGTTTTAATGTAATTAAATTTTTTTTTCTATACATCAGGGCTATTAAAGCCACTCTGATTTTCAAAATTGAAAAGAAGGATTAAATCCTTTAGCTTCTCAGGAATTCTCTACCGATTAGGAGATTCAGTAGGCTTTTTTTTTTTCTTTAAATTTGCTTTCATGAATAAAAAAATATATGACCTTTCATGGGTCTCTTTTTTGGCCTCCAGAGAACCTTATTTCTTCTGTAACTACTTGGTTAAGTTCATGAGAGGACTCTGTCCCTGCTGTTTTTTTCTTTTTTTTGGCCAGTGCATTTGGGAACATACAGGTCATCCATTCCTAAGAATTCTGCGAAGTAGGTGTAATCACCCTGATGTTTATAGATGGGGAAACACAGAGAAGGTCCATCCTTTGCCTGAGCTCACACAACGGACTCTACCCAAGTTTGCCGGACAGCCAAAATAGGCTCTTTGCACTGCCCCATACAGCCACCACCAAGAAAAGGCAAACGGCACAAAACCACACATCCACTCACACACAGACCTCAGAGAGCCTTGAGAGAAAGGACAGGGTCAGGGGAGATTCTCCAAAAAATGCAGAATTTGGAGGAAAAAGGCAGAGAAAATGAAGCCCACCACATCTTAGCAAAAAAGATCTTTAACCTCAGTCCTGAATTTTTGGCTTCGGTACAAGGCCACATCAGCCCAGGAGCCTGTGTGTAAACACATTTTTCATATAGAGAATGTGGTGCATTGGCCTGTCCCGGACTGGGGAGGGGACGATGGAGGGGCACCTACCTCCTTCGAACTCTGTTTGGCAGTTCCCCGAGGTCTCATTCAGGCTCTCTTCCTCGTTGATAATGATGTTCTCAATGTCCTTCATCGTTAGGTGGTCTCGGAAGGCATGATAGAGAATGTGCTTCAACTCTTCCAGAGTTATCCTTTGCATGTCAAACTGTGGAGATAAAGAGTAGTGAGATGGTCAGAGCATGCAGAGATGGGAAGTCAGCTTGGGCCATGACAGGCAAGACCCACAGCTGCTCTGCAGGAGCTTGTCTCAGCGTTTCAGGATATCAGGTGAACAGTTTTCCATCCTGTTCAGCACCAAGTATACTAGTGAACTTGCAGGGACTTATTGGGATGGTGGAGAGTGGAACATATTCCCTTCACTTTAGATTCTTGGAGGAAAAAAAAAGCCACCCGCCAGTCTGGTTTCCTATTCACCCAGCCATCTGCTGCCAACCCTGCGTATCTCGTGTACTTTGGAATGGTGAAACTATTCACATAATGCATACGTCTCTAAACATTTTATAATTTACCAATACTCTGGCAATTCCCATTCCCATATTGGTTTAAGTATGTACCTTTTTGTTTTTTTTTGAGATGGAACCTTGCTCTGTCGCCCAGGCAGGAGTACAGCAGCGAGATCTCGGCTCACTGTAACTTCTGCCTCCTGGGTTCAAGCAATTCTCCTGCCGCAGCCTCCTTAGTAGCTGGAATTACTGGCACCCGCCACCACACTCAGCCGATTTTTTTGTATTTTTAGTAGAGACGAGGTTTCACCATGTTGGCCATGCTGGTTTTGAACTCCTGACCTCAAGTGATCCGGCCGCCTTGGCCTCCCAAAGTGCTAGGATTACAGGCCTGAGCCACTACACCTGGCCTAATTATGTATCTTTTTAAAAAAAAAAAAATATAGAGGCAGAGTCTTGCCCTGTCACCCAGGCTGGAGTCCAGTGGCGTGATCACAGCTTATTGCAGACTTGAACTCCTGGGCTGAAGCCGTTCTCCTGCCTCAGCCTCCCAAGTAGCTGGGATTACAGGCATGAGCCACTGTGCCCGTCTAATATTTATAATTTTTTTTGTAGGGACAAGGTCTTGCTATGTTTCCCAGGCTGGTCTCAAACTCCTAGCCTAAAGTCCTCCTCCTGTCTTGGCCTCCTGAAAGTGCTGGGATTACAGGTGTAAGCCACTGTGCCTGGCCACGAATCTTTTTCTAACAAGATAAAAACACAAGTTCAAAGTCATGTTCATGAAGAAAAGCTGCTGAAGGAGAGGTGCAGAATTCCTGATTACATCCTGCCGCTCCCCGAGAAAGGACTGTACTCTTCCACTCCATTTATATTAGGTTTGATAGTGTCATTTTCTTTCTTTCTTTTTTTTTTTTTTTCCGAGACGGAGTCTCGCTCCCATCTTGCAGGCTGGAGTCCAGTGGCACGATCTCGGCTCACTGCAACCTCTACTTTCCAGGTTCAAGCAATTCTCCTTCCTCAGCCTCCCGAGTAGCTGGGATTACAGGTGTGCACCACCACACCCAGCTAATTTTTGTATTTTTAGTAGAGATGGGGTTTTGCCATGTTGGCCAAACTGGTCTCGAACTCCTGACCTCAGATGATCCACCTGCCTCGGCCTCCCAAAGTGCTGGGATTACAGGCGTGGGCCACCGCGCCTGGCTGGTAGTGTCACTTTCCTGGCCAATGCAATGTGAGTAGAAGTCACATCTACCACATCTAATTCACAGCTTTATGAATCATTGTGTGGTTCTGACATTTGTTGTTTTCCTCTGCTATGAGAATTGCACGCCCCAGATAGGGGCTGTTCCTTCGGGCTGGGTCTCAGAATGAGGATAAAGTGGGGAACACCTGCAGCTGAATCACAATGGACAGCTCATGTCAGGAATACCCTGTGTTGTTATGAGCCGTTGAGATGTGGGGCTTGTTTGCTACCGCAGTGTAACTTAGACCATTGTTGGTCTATGTCAAAAATAGAGAAATCGGCACATAAAACCAAGAGGCTACCATAACCAAAATTCTAAAATACAATGTACTGGTTCCAGAGCCAGGCAGTGAAAAATAAGAAAACCATGACCGGAGGCTGGAAAGACAGAGATCCCTGTTATATAATAGCCAAACATTTGGTAAAACTGTTGCCTGTGATACCTTGGATGACAGGTAGATATTGAATCCGAGTTCTGTGGCTTTAGATAAAAAGTTTGCGAAACAGAATGCCGTGACTCACAATTGAAATTAGTTGCATCCAACAGAGCACTACAAGAAAGAGATGAGCTCAGGAAAGAATTGGTTGATTTGCAAACCAAAAATAAGAACAATCCAGAAATTCCTGGTGTTGCAGCATTGAAAGAAGCAATTGTTTCTTTTTTTCTCGTAATGATCTGTTATCTTCCTATCCCCACATTTCTCAAAGCCCCCTTTTCTATTTCTATTTCTTTTCTATTTCTAGTTCTATTTTTTTAGAGACAAGGTGTCGCTCTGTGGTCCAGGCTGATTTGCAGTGGTGTGATCATAGCTCACTGCAACTTCAAACTTCTGGGCTCAAGTGATCCTCCTGCCTCAGCCTCCTGAGTAGTTAGGACTACAGACATGCACCACCATGTCCAGCTATTTAATTTATTATTATTATTATTATTATTTGAGCTGGAGTCTTGCTCTGTCACCCAGGCTGGAGTACAGTGGTGCAATCTTGGCTCACTGCAACCTCCACCTCCCAGGTTCAAGTGATCCTCCTGCCTCAGCCTCCCAGGAATTACAGGGATTACAGGCACATACCACCACACCCAGCTAATTTTTGTATTTTTAGTAGAGACAGTGTCTCGCTATGTTGCCTGCCTCAGACTCCCAAGAAACTGGGATTATAGATGTGTGACACCACACCTGGCTAATTTTTGTATTTTTAATGGAGACGGGGTTTCACCATGTTGGCCAGGCTGGTCTCAGACTCTTGGCCTCAAGCAATACTCTGACTTCAGCCCCCGAAGTGCTGAGATTACAGGCGCTGCACCAGGAACAATTGTTTCTCATCTCCAACTAGTAAGAGCTAAAATAAAGAAATGCTTTAAGTAATAATACAGCCCTATTAAAACAAATCAATGCCTCTTTAAAAAATCTCTGGATGTGTTAAGTGACTCTCCTAGGAAGCCTGTTATTAAGTTTAGAGAGAGGTATGTCTCAAAAATAATTGTGGATGTGTTTATTAGCATAAACTGATTGGAGCCAGATAAAAATATAACTAAGTCCTTGAGAGCTGTACTGGACAAGAGCCAACATTCTTGGATTAAAAGACACTATAACTGTTCCAAACTTTAGAAGATCTTTGGGCTTCCCAACCTATGGGTCCAAGCGATTATGAGGATGAGCTACACGGGTCCCAGGAAGGGTGTACTGCCCAATGCCCTCATAGAATCAGTACAAGAACAGTGGAAAAGGACAGCTCCCTGGGAATCTGGGAGAACAATGTCATCCAGGGTCACTTCTAGGAAGCAGAAGCATCTAATTGAAGGAAAACTCCTCACCCCAAGGTTTTTGTCCACCAGGATTTCAGAATTGCTCTGAGCTTTTGACCGCTATGGGTATCCCCTGTTTTGCTTTCAGATGGGAATGTTTTTGGTGGTTGGCCTGACCCCGGTCCACCACTGTATGTCGTGTGTGTGTGTGTGTGCCGGGTGAGGGTGAGGGGTAATTTGTCTTTTTAGTTTTTATGCTTCCAGACCAAGGAGAGCCACATCCAGATTTGATGAGCATCATGAGATTCTAGAGCTTGAGTCTGGTGTTATAACTGGAAGGGACTTTGGGGGTATCTCCCTTGGGGAGGGGAGGAGTATATTTTGCAGCTGAAGAGAGGCAAAATATTGATGAGCAAGAGTATGGACTGTAACACAGTCTATTATTTCCAACTATAATTGAGCCTTGAAAAACGTGAGTTTGAACTGTGTGGGTCCACTTGTATGTGGATTTCCTTCTGCATCTGCCACTCCTGAGACAGCAAGACCAACCCCTCCTCTTCCTCCTCCTCCTCCTCCACCTACTCAAGGTGAAGACCATGAGGATGAAGACCTTTATGATGATCCATTTAACTTACTTCCTCCGCTTTATGATTTTCTTTTCTTTTTTTTTTTTGAGACGGTAGAGTCTTGCTCTGTCGCCCAGGCTGGAGTGCAGTGGCCAGATCTCAGCTCACTGCAAGCTCCGCCTCCCGGGTTTATGCCATTCTCCTGCCTCAGCCTCCCGAGTAGCTGGGACTACAGGAGCCCGCCACTTCGCCTAGCTAGTTTTTTGTCTTTTTTAGTAGAGACGGGGTTTCACCGTGTTAGCCAGGATGGCCTCGATCTCCTGACCTCATGATCCGCCCGCCTCAGCCTCCCAAAGTGCTGGGATTACAGGCTGGAGCCACCGCGCTCGGCCCTCTCTATGATTTTCATAATAGCTTTTTTCTTCTCCCTAGCTTACTTTATTGTAAGAATGCAGTGTATAATACATGTAACATACAACATATGTGTTAATCAACTTTTTTTTTCTTTTTTTTTGATACGGAGTCTCGCTCTGTCGCCCAGGTTGGAGTGAAGTGATGCAATCTCGGCTCACTGCCAGCTCCGCCTCCCGGGTTCCCGCCATTCTCCTGCCTCAGCCTCCAGAGTGGCTGGGACTACAGGCGCCCGCCACCACACCCGGCTAGTTTTTTGTATGTTTAGTAGAGATGGAGTTTCACCAAGTTAGCCAGGATGGTCTCTATCTCCTGACCTCGTGATCCGCCCGCCTTGGCCTCCCAAAGTGCTGGGATTACAGGCTAGAGCCACCGCGCCCAGCCTTGAGTTAATCAATTTTTTATATTATTGGTAAGGCTTCCAGTCAACAGTAGGCCATTAGCAATGAAGGTTTTGGGGATTCAAAAATTAAACTTGGATTTTTGACTGCACGTGGGTCAGTGCCCCTCATCTCTGCTTTGCCTAAAGGCCTACTGTATTTGTTTCCCCTTGTAGGAGAGGATGATATCTCCTTGCCTGTTGATGTCAGGCTTTGGCCAATCAACTGAGGGCGAAAGTGATAGAAGAAAAGTATGATAGTCCAAGGAGAAGCTTCAAAGCCATTGTGTTTTCTGCCATTTCTCTTTCTCTTCTTTCACAAAACATTTACACCAAAGAGGGGCTGCTGCTTCATTCTA